AAAATTTCGAAGCCATTTATCCATCTGGAGCGCACACTAGCTAATTTGCATAGTGGATTTAGTAGGTTTCAATTTTATGGGTCCACCCGGCCTGGGTCTAGCTCTGACCTCGACCTCTCCTCGGCCCTGACCTTCCTGCCCAGTCTCTCCTTATTTACTCCTTTCCGCTCTACACTACTTAAAGCTACTAATCTCCATATCTTTAGAAGTAGCCAAATTTGCAGCCGAATTTTAGCCAAAATGCGGCAAACTTATGGGACGTTTCAAAAGCAACCAATAACGGACTCGGTCTCAGCCTTCTCCATCGATCTTTGGAAGCTGGCATTTCACTTCAGTGATTCTGAACGTTAAAATTCCAAAAACAAGGTTCCCAAAGAAACCATGATCAAAATAGGGCACTTGAAATACGTTTTTGAACACCTCAAGTATCGATCGGAGTGCAATTTGTGCATTTAGCCAAGTCAAACATTGATTGATCCACGGAAATGCTTCAACCAAATTTGAAACTTTGGAACACATTTTAACTTGATTGAGACTATTTAGTCTAGTGCTGTTTTTTTCATATCCAAGAATAGAGCAGCTTTCTTTAAAAATCAAGTACAGATTCGAATTTCTTGACCCCAAAAACCTCATGTCGAAATGTACAGTCCAATCGGCCTCAAAAAAAAGTGCTAAATCTACGTACGGTCCACCGGGGGCCGTATCGTCGTGAACCTGTAGAATTCAAAATGATGAATTTGTGAGTTTGAGAACCATTTTCCATTTACATTTCCGAAAAATGCTCTTTCGATTTCCCTTCCGGCCTAGAAAGATCCGTTGGCACTCGTCGAAAATTCCTTTTCCACATTCTTCCACCAGCCAAAAAGCCGTTCACGATCATTTGTTTACAATGTCAGTATAATTTTATGCAAATATTAAGTATTAGGTTAAGCCTAAGATGTAAAAGTCTAAAAAGTCAAACCTAAACCTTAGAAATAGAAATATGAACGGTTGAAAAAATTCTTGCTTGGTTGTCGGAAGATCAAATCATGTCGGGTATTAATTTCAGCACTATTATTTGATCGATTATTTGTATTTGATAGTAGGTCTCGAGGAAAAACCCACAAAAATTGTGAATGTTTTCGCTTGTGAAAAAATTGTGAATGTTTGATTCCTAGCCGAGACGTGTTTTGCTAAAATTTATGACTAAATTTTATCTCCTCCAAAAGCTTTAATGCAAAAAGCAAAAGTTGTGAATGTTTTCGCAATAACAAAAGCTGATTTTTGACTTGAGGGGGTTTTTAGCGAAAGTTATGATTTTATCAAATCTTTTCTTTTTCGAAAGCTGTTCAAATCAAAAATGCTGATCAAAATGCTAATTGGCGGGAAAGAATCCACCTCTTCCCAAAATTATGGAGTACTCTGTGCGTGCTCACAATCGCGTACTTTCTGGCACACTGCCCTGGAGGGGGTCAATAAAACGAAGGTCTTTTCCCAAGTCGCGAGTTAGGAGGTTACCGAAAACTTTCGGGCCCACAAAGGGTCCACCCTCCTTCCTCTAGCAACACATAAATTTTTGGCTTTTTTCTTGATGTGGATAGACAGATCCAGCCTCCAAGATGTAATCAAAGTTATTAGTAGCTTTATCTACTGGGATTAGCATTTAACTGCCGGAATTTGTATTAGGTTGGAAGGAAAGTTCTCGGAAAACGTCTGCACGATGATTTCTCAAAAACCAAGCCATCAATTCTTCTCAAATTTTTTGATAAACTTGACTATATTTCAAAAAGTTTTGGGACAGAGTGGGCTTGGAGACAATCTGAAAAATGATTAAAACTCTAGTTAGTTCTAGTTAAATCTCTCTGCTGTCAAGGTGTTCTTTGTACGCCGCGTAATCGCCCTCCATCTGACGCACCGCTTTCCCTGATATACTTTCCTTTCCGCGTTCTTCCATCTCTGGTTCGTCTGCAATTGACCGAGAAAATCTTTCGCCTTTTACTAAAGATTTCCGTGCAGACGAACAATTATGAGTATTACTCAATTTTTGGAAGTCCCCTTGAAAAAGCGGGACAAAAATCATACCTAATTTGTCTGATCAAAAATCGTACCTATGACAGGAATCCCTTATTTCCGTTAAAATTAACGGCTTCGTAACAAGTGTGAATCCCCATAAAGATATCCCGAGATCCGGCTGGTCCAAGTGCATCGCCAATGTGAGCAATTTAGGTTTTGATTCATTGCTTTGTCAATGGGAACCCAACTTTGTTCACACTCTTATCATAAGGGACCCAAACATTTTGGTTCATACAGAGCAGAGATTTTGATTTGCAAAGCTGAACTTTTGGTATGACAATAGCATCAACCCGAGTTTTCAGATGTTTAGCCTTGAGCGTCAGCCTTGTCAGCGTCAACCTTTATTCACCCTGAAAATATTAGCAACTTCTTTGATCATCATAAATTTTCGTATTCAAACAGATCAGTTCCTCGAGTCTTCTTCTCATTTCATTCAATGAGCCGTTGAGCTAAATGTTTTTATACAGATACTATCACCAAATACCTGTGTTAACTTGTAGTGGAATTTCTTGACTTCAAAATGGAGAACATTTGTGAGACAAAGATAAATATGCATATTTAAAAATGTTCAGGATTTGTATTTGTGATTGTGAGAAAGATATAGGCGATACAGGGGCCAATGTATTGAAGTTCTCAATACACATCGAATCCGCTACTATGGGAAAACACTTTTGACTTAAAATCAAAAATCCGAATTCGGAAAATTCTTAGTTGTTGTCCAGACAAGAAAAATCCAAAGTTTTGAGAAAAATCCCCCTACTCACAAAAGAGTTATTACGGCGTAAAGTTTTACGAACAAAATGAGGAATTCGTCAAAATTCCGATTTTTCTCATATTCACTCCACAAGAACGTGCCAAACAATGTATTTCAAAGTTGTAGCCCTGGTTTTACTCTTTTTAACGATACCCTTGCCATTTCTCTGCATTCTGTTTGCGATGAGTTCTGAGGTTTTTCCCGGCGTCACTTTTAGACAAATCTAGGGAAGAGTGCCTTTTTTCAGGACCGCCGAAGCAAAATTGAGTTCCTAGGTGTTGTTATTCTGGATCTATATTAAAAAAGACTCCAGAAGCTGTGAGTTTCAGTATATTTCATAAAAGAATATTTATTTGTATTTATTTATAGTTATAATATGATAAAAGTGATAGATAAAACAAACTAATTTACAAACTAAATATCATGAACATCTTCTACATTTTGTCAGATATTCAGTTTATTTTAAATGCACTCGTTTCCTATTTTGCACTATTTCTTGAGGAACACACTCTATTCATGGCGCATTCTCGACTCTTATCTGGCAGATTTATGTAAATTCTCTCACGGAATTGTCCGTATAAAAAACTATTTTAGGAAAAAACCAATATGTTTTTAATGTGGTAAAATGGTAAAATGGTAAAATATAGATTTGGAAGGTTTTGAAATGGAAAAATTCGCAATTTACAGCTTTCAAAATGCAAAAACGTTAAAAAAATTACCAGAGGTTTCACAGAAAATTTGACAACTTCGGAACGCACTGACACTTTCAACAGCCAATTAGACTTTTCAAAAGTACAGTTAATAGCAAATCGTTTTCTTTTCATTTCACAAAGATTTTTAAGCTTCATTTTGAATGATTCAAGGCAATAAAATTACAGTATTTACGGCATGTCTACCCTGGATTGTCTTCTTTCTCTTTCTGCTCCGTTTGCTTATGGCAGGAAATTATCGTCAACACGCATTAATTGTTTCATTTTAGGGACTTCTCTGCGTCAATTTTCTTATCTGGAACGGCATATTTTCTCCACAAAACTTTCTTCTTTACAACGGCTCGTCTGTGAGTTTATTTCATTTTTACTTGAGAACATTCTGCTTATAAAAGTTTAACATTATTGGAATGGAACTATATGGTTTTGTCCCAGTTAAAAGCAGGCCATTGATTTTTTGTTAATGAATCATACAATTATGATCTGTCCAATCTATGTAAAATTTATGTAAAGTTCTTTGTCAAATTTCTTTTCTGGCCTAAGATATCGAAACGGTTTTCCCGCAATTTTGCAATGTGTCGTAAGAAAAAGGGAGTAAAAACTGAAAATTCAGAGAGGGGGACACTCGAAGACTAATGTATAAAAATGTATAAATGCAATGTATAAAAGGCGCTTCCTGCACAGAAAAGTGAAAATATTCAGTTAATTAAATCAATAGGATTAAACTGGCTTAATAAGGTATAAAAGAATGTTTTGCGCAAAAGTTGCCACAATATTTTCGGAGCTGCTTTTGGCGGTTGTTTTTGTTAAGTTGCTATTTTTGCTTCTCAATTTTTGGATTCTTTCCATCATCAACGCATACAATGTCCATTTTTAGGGCCATCACACGTTCATTTATGTCGGGTCGCTATCTTCCGTCGTCGATCACCGTCTTGCTTGTCGTTTTCGCGCTTCTCTTCATCGATTCAACTAGTGGGTCACTCGGGGATTGGCATGTAAGTGGTTAAGCCTAACTAGGAAAAACTAGGGGTAGATGCCGCGCTGCTTTCTGGCTGCTAGAAGTAGGCTTATGGTTGCCAGAAGTGGTGTTAAGCTCGATTCTGCGCTCTTAGAAGTGGCAAAACCACTTTATCACTGAAAATATTGACTCTTTTAAGCAGTATCAGGCCTGTAAACCCCTCAGAGTTCAAATTATCATGGAACAAAGAGAGTTTTGACAAAGATTGCTTAAAACCATTGCATTATTCGCGTCTTTAAAATTTAGCCACACTACCGCGAATGCACTTCACGATGCCGAAAAGAACACGGTGGCCCATAACGATTGAACGAGCCCGGTTGGAGCAGGCAGCCATGTTTTTGGTGAGTTTTTTTATTTGACACGCATAACTAATCATCTCATTTAGATGCAAATACGATTGCATGTAGGCCACTAATGCGACCATTCGAATCACCCAACCTGGCAACTCGCCGGGGAAATTTCACAGAGAATGGCCGCTCGCCGCGACCCAACTCAGGGCCATCGTCATTCAGGTGCGAACAAGTGTTTCTTATTTTACTTTTTGTTTCAGGAACCAACATCGGCTATCTTCTCTTTTGGCAACAACTTGGCTGGCGATCAAATATACAAAAGAAACAAATCTGGTGGGGATACGGTGTTGTCGGAATGATTGCTTGGTTGGCGTTTAAAGTTTCAATCAAAATGTTTTGCCTTTAGGTTCTCGTCGACGATTTTTCATTGTGTCGATTGTTGGGTGACCGAGTGGATGGACTATTTTGTGGGTACTTTTGAGAGATTTGAGGGCAATTGAAAATGGTCCATTAAACTTGGGCTACACTGTACAACTTTTTGTTTAGTATGTGGTTTCGCCGACATCTGTGTGGCCGTCCTCTACACATTACCCGCGTTGACCACGAAAAAACATTTTTAAGTTATGTTTTCGATTAAAAAACATGTACTGGATTCACTTTCTTTGTTTTGAAAAAACTGCATGTCCCTATATTTCCTAGGCTTTGGCTCCGCACCACAGAGGCGCATAAGTTTCTAATTGAAAACATGACTTAAAAATGTTTTTTCGTGATCAAGGCCATCAATTACCCTAGAAAAACTACATTTGAGCAAATTTCAAGTGCTCCCCCAACTGCCTTAGTACCTTTTATTTGTTATGTTTTGCTAGCTTTTCTCGTTATTGTTGTTACTTGGAATAAATTTATAAAATATTGTTCGATGATGAAGTTACTGTTTGAAGCAGTTGTCGATTTCTTGATGGATTGACTTATTTGTGACTTATTCCAGCTTTATTTGTATGTCAATTTCACTATTTCCTAACATTTCCGTTATCCGTAAAGCACCTCTTTATGTCAAAACAAAGTCTAATTTTTTTATTTATAGGTGGAAGAATGGCGTCAATCGAAATGAAGAATTTGAGGTCATTTCCAATGGAGAAGTTGTGCTTCGATTTGAAGTTGGAAGCGTTGGAACAAATGGAACCAAGGGATGTGTATGAGTTGGCCAAGGTGAATCAAGGATTCCAAGGGATGCTCGTGAGGCGTCCGTCAATCGTTTTTGGAGAGCACGTTTATCGTATTCAATTCTACATGGGAGGATTTGGATCAAGAAGTTTTCCAATTCAAATGAAATGGAGCTCAATGTCGATCGTCTCTTTTCACTTTTCTTTCGTTAAGAAGATCCGATCGTGCGACCAATTGTGGCTGGGATCGGAATCAAAAGAAGCCCTGGAGAGATTCTTCTCAAATTTTCACGCATCGATCAAGAAAGAAGCATTACTGGCTATCGACTGCGGTGCTTTCAATGATCAAGTGATCAAAGATTGGGTCGAGAATTTTATGGTGGGACCTCAACTCAAGGATTGCGAGAAGATTTGGGTTTGACTGTCGTACTGAAGATTCATTTCGCTTTTGCTACAACGCCTTGTTGAAGGCTGAAATCAAAAACGTTTCTATGCGTACCTGGGGCCGGATGGATTTGATTATTCAACAGATCATCACCAATGGAATCCCGAGCAAGAACCCTGAGGCTGCTATTTTCCTTTGGGTCTTCACGATTTGACTTTCACGATGGATCTCTCACAATATCCAGGAATGCGACGAATCGATGGAGAGAATCGTCTTCGACTTCTCAAACAGGCGAACGATCTTGCAAGGAATTTTGGATATTATCTATGATGGTTCTGGTTTCTTCACGGAAGAAAGCTCAATGTTCCGTCGACGTTTTGATTCAACCAAGGACTGCATCTGCGTGTACGAGATATGACGATAAATTGCTTCTTGGCCTTCTACGTCCCCGTCGATTAAAATGATTAAAATTACTCTTTGATTCATTGTATTTTTTGTCGCTTTCTATCATTGTTTCCATTTTTTGAATTGACAGATTATTGGTGTTTTATCTGTTAGTATTTTATTGCCTGAATTATTCAAAATAAAGTTTTAAAATCTTTTGTGAAATGAAAAGAAAACGATTTGATCTTATCCGTACTTTTTAGAAGTCTAATTGGCTGTGAAAGTGGCAGTCCGTTCCAAAGTGGTCAAATTTTTAAGGAAATCTTGGTAATATTTTTCTCACCGTTTTTGCTCTGTGAAAGCTATAATATGCGAATTTTCTATTTCAAAACCTATATTCTACTACAAAAAAAGAAACTCCGAGAAACGAAAATGAAAACAAGCATCAAAATTTGAAATTTTCGAAAATTCGAGAAAAACTCGTTAAGGCTTCGTTATTGGTTTTCATTCAAAGCCCGGTCAAGTCGCTTTATGCAATTTTTTAGATAAACAGGTCTCGAGCACAAGCTGAAGCCTAGAATTTCTCTTTTATTTCAACGAGTGTAAATGGTCCAGGTTATGATATTTTATCTGGTTTGGCTAATACATTGCAGGCAGTACAATAAAAGAGATTCAATAGCTGGCAAAATAAGGAGCATTTGCTAGAGATACCTGGGAAAAAATCATTGCCAAGAGATTTATCAAAGCATAAAAGGATTTAGGCCATGCAAAACGAGCCCTCATTGCCAGAAATTTGTTGCTGAATATTGGTGGTGATCTTTAGGAAGAGGGTGTCTTGACTGGTCGTTGAGAAGGCACACGACGATCCACCGGAGAATTTCTGAAGGAAGGGAATGGGTGGATGATTTTGTTTCGAGACTTTATTAACCATTTTTGGGAAAGTAGCTTCAGCTATCTACTGTTTTAAAACAAAAGAATAGCTTTATATTGTTTTAGGCTAGATTTGTATTGTTTTATGCTAGCAAACTTTTTATTTGCCACGACGCATTCCTTCTCATAATCATCTCATTTAGATGCAAATACGACTGCATGTGGGTCACTGATGCGATCAGTTGGATCACTCAACCTGGTAACTCGCCGGCGAAATTTCACGGAAAATGGCCGCTCGCCGCCATCCAACTCGGTGAAATCGTCATTCAGGTGCGAACAAGTGTTTCTTACTCTACTTTTTTGTTTCAGGAACTATAATCCGCTATCTTATCTTCTGGCAAGAACTCGACTGGCGAACGAATATACCAAAGAAACAAATCTGGTGGGGATACGGTGTTGTCGGAATGGTTGCTTGGTCGGGGTTTAAAGTTTCGATCAAAATGTTTTGGTTTTAGGTTCTTATCGAGGATTTTTCATTTTGTTGATTGTTGGGTGACCAAGTGGATGGATTATTTTATGGATACTTTTGAGAGATTTGAGGGCAATGGAAAATGCTCCATAAAACTTGGGCTACACTGTGCAACTTATTGCTGAGCATCTTGCTATTGCGTGGCTTCTGTGTGGCCGTTCTCTACACATTGCTCGCGTTGGCAAAGAGGAAATAAGCAACAATTTGGTGAGTCCTTAAGGCTGAAGTAACTTCATTGTTCTCTAGGCGTTTTGGTCTTCCACCGAGCGTTTTTGTCATCCGGTTAAATCACATGATTTGAATAATGGTAAGTGATTCGAGCATTGATTGGTTTAGCCGATTTTCTTACTTTCAACTTGTAGTGATAAAAACTTTTTTGGTTTAGCAGGTGGCTATTGCTTCACCGTCCTTTACACATTACCCGCCTTGACAAAGGAGAAATATGCAAGTGAGTCCTTAATGTAACATTATGGTTCTCCAGGCGTTTTGATCTTCCAGCGAGCGTTTTTGTGACCTGGTTAAATCATGTAATTGGAATGATGGTGAGTGCCTGGGTTTAGCCGATTTTCTTATGTTTAACTGGTGGTGATGACAGCCAATTAAGCATTTACTTTGACAATACTTTTAATTAGCAGAATCTCGACTACGACCAAAACATGAAGGTGTGCATTCTGTGTCATTTCTCTCGGCGACGCTTTACGGATGCTTTTCAGTTTAATCGATGACGGAGAAAAAAAAAGGTTTGTTTAGAAATTTTCTCCAACAATTTCCGTTTTTCGGATTTTCGCTTGGTGATCGATGGTTGATCTCGGCTTCTACTGGGAGGAAATATCCTCTTCGAGGTGCACGACTTTGGTGAGTTTGTTGCCATAATTATTGGTGAAGTTGAGTGCAAAATATAAAATTAATCTCTACAAACCTTTCTTCAACTAATTTGACGAAATTAAACCCATTAGAGAAACTTCATTTCATTTTTCCAGGTGGAAAATCGACGGTTATGCTTTGTTTCATTTGGTGACAATCCCCGTGCCTCTAATGTTCCATTACTCGAGTGGGAAATTCGTTTTGTTAATCGTGTGATCTTGTGCTTTACATGTTTCGGGTGTTATTGCGTGCTTTTCTTTATTTCGCAGTTTCTCTCGTGCTTGTTGTTCCTATCTTTTCTGTGTTTATCTTCCCATTACCCGTTTCGGTTATTTACCAGTAAATTAAATCGGTTATTTACGGTTGTATGAAACTTACATTATGCTTTTGTTGCTTTCAAGTGTTGTTGTCGAGAATAACGTTACAAAATCCCTGCGTCAACGATCCTTTTAAAAGGTTTGAAAATCAAGACCTGGCACTATTTTCGGAAGAATTTGTTTCAGAATTTTTTTGAAAGACTTAAAGGGGTATTCCGGCTCCAAAAGCGATTTCCTAGAACCACGACTCTTTGTATACCAATCGACGCGTTTCAGTCCTCTCTACAAGGATTGCATAAAGAAAAACCTTGAAAACACTAAAAGCCCCGAAAAACTATGAAAACTGTCAAAAAATGCGTTTGCGATTAAAATGCAATGTGACAGAACCTTTATATACCAGAATTAATTCTACCATAGTTTCATCCAGACTACGGTAGCATTTTCTAGCCCGTTGACGACCATTAAAAGACCGTTAAAGATATTCAGCTCAGCAACTGAAAGTTAATTAACGGTTTTGTTTTGTGGTATTTACCGACTTTTTTCTTTCGGTTCTCACCTTTGTCACCTTTTATTAAGTCTTTCGCCTTTCGCCTTTTTATGTCTTTTTTTTCTTTCAACACTCTAGCACAGATAAAATGGAGTTCCGAAGAAAAAAGTTTCTAGTTGACGGTTTATTAGTTGTGCTTGAAAGGTATTTAAGAAAATAGTTTTTTGATTTCAACGTTCTATATCTACAGATCAACAAGTTGTTTAAAAAGTATTAAGAAAATTATACTATCAGTCAATTCGAATCAAAATTTTCGCAATTTTCAATGATTTCTAAAACTAGAATCTCTATTACCAACTCTTTCCAGGTGCTTGAATTCGCGGAACAATATGGCGAGGGACAACAAGAAGACCCGCACCAACCCGCGACACCTGACAAATAGAAAAATGAAATGAGATAGGAATTCAATAGACCCTGTTTGAGTTAATGTTTTGTCGAGAAAATAGGCCACCCGGTCCAATCCAGCAAAGGGTAGAGGCTTTTTAAGTCAAGTCTAATCAGAAAAAGATTGAATGTCAATTCGAGATAATGAAAGGTTTTAAAGCTTTTTTCAAAAACTGGTCTCACTTTTTAGTCGATTATTAGGCAATTTTAACAGCTTTGTTTCAAACTAATCAGGTAAAGTTTTCTTCCAAAATCTTCAATGCAATTTTTTTATGCAATATTTGTCGTGATTAGCATTTAACTGCCGGAATATGTATTGTATAACTTTGATAAACTTTTCAAACTCACGTTCTGATCAACTCGAGCTAAATTTTTCTGGATGTCACTACGAATTTTGGACGAAGTACCAAAAAGTTATAAAAGTACTATTAATCGATTCAGTATAGTCAAAAACCCCTGTGTGCCATCTCATCTCGCTATCTCAGAGTCGAGTTACACCCGTACCGATACACCCCTAACCTTAAACACTAAAAACTTTCTTTTCCTCTTTTACGGGAATGCCGATTTATGGCATTTAAAGTATTTGAATCGCGTTAGCTTTTTGGTTTAAAAGAAAGCCAAAGATTTAGGGCATCTTTTGATAATATTTGTCGTATTTGTATTTGCAATATTTGTCGTATTTGTATATTTGTCGCGACGACAACTTTCCGTTTTCTTGGAGGCGTATTCAAACAGATCAATTCTTCGAGTTTTCTTCTCATTTCATTCAATGAGCCGATGAGCTAAATGTTTTTGTACAGCTACTATCACCAAATACCTGTGTTAATTTGTAGTTGAATTTCTTGATTTCAAAATGGAGAACATTTGTGAGACAATGATAAATATGCATATCTAAAAATGTTCAGGATTTGTATTGGCTTACTATAATTGATGACTGTGAGAAAGATATAGGCGATACAGGGGCGAATGTATCGAAGTTCTCGATCGTAGAAGCTCTGAAAATTTTTCAAATTAGACATCAATTTACACATCCAGTCTGTCATGAATCAGTCTTTGCCAAAAATTGGTAAATGTTTTAACTGTTCACATGAGTCAGAGACGGTAGCATGACTGTTTCTAAAGAATTTGTCGCCATCGACATCAAAAACATCACTACGTTTGCTGTACAATAGATCTGAAAACAATCACTAACATTTGTACCTAAAAAATTCCAAGGTCCTACCTGAATGCCCAAAAATTGGTTTGCGTATGGCAGGAAATTATCGTCAACACGCATTTTTTTTCTCATTTTCGGGACTTCTCTTTTTTTGGTTTTTTTTTAAAATTTTTTTATCTGAAACGGCATATTTTCTCCACAAAATTCTCTTCTTTACAACGGCTCGTCTGTGAGTTTATTTCATTTTTCCTTGAGAATATTCTGCTTATAAAAGTTTAACATTATTGGAATGGAACTATATGGTTTGTCCCAGTTAAAAGCAGGCCATTGATTTTTTTTGTTAATGAATCAACAAATGGCTTGATGTCTCCAATCTATGTAAAATTTATGTAAAGTTCTTTGTCAAATTTCTTTTCTGGCCTAAGATAAGATAATTTCGGACCTTAAGGTCCGAAGGTTTTCGGTAACCCTCTAACTCCGGACCAATGAGCCCTTGGGGGAGAGACCTTCGTTTGTGACCCACTCCAGGGCAGTGTGCCCGAAAGTACGCGATTGTGAGCGCGCACAGAGTACTCCATAATTTTGGGAAGAAAAAGGGGTACTGGTGGATCTTTCCCCACCTGGTGGATCCAATAGCATTTTGATCAGCATTTTTGTTTCGAAAAGCTAATGTCGGTTCAAACCGAAGATCCACCTGTACCGCTTTCTCTTCCCAAACCCATAGTGCTCTGTCACCATTTCTGGCACACTACATAAACAAAGGTCTTTTCCCCAGAGTGCTCGACGGTTCGAAAGTGAGGTCACCAGCTTTCGGACAGAAAGGAGTCACCCCTTCCTTCCTATGGCAACACTTGACCATAGATTTTTGGCTTTTTTGATGTGGATGAGTGAATCCAGCCCTCCAAAGTAAGCATACCAGATGCTATCCAATCCAATTTTTCTATCAATCTAGAAAAAAAGTGTTTTGCACACACACACATTCAAATGTAGGTTCTTGTTGGTTTTATAATGATTTTTTTTCCCGACCACTTGGCCATTTGATATATAATCTTTGATTTAACGCATTAGTGTTTGATAGAATTAATATAATTACTTTGAAAATTCGTCATTTGACAAACAAATTAGTTGTTTTGGAGTCAGACTCAGTTACTAAAAGTACAAACTGGAGAAGGCATTAAAAATGTCGTCTATACCATAGTAAACAATACAGTGCGTTTCAAATTCTTAAACGCACTCTCTAAAATAGCCAATTTCGCATTTTTACGCCACCTCTACAACTATCAATCTTTTTTTCTATTAGAAAGAGCATGTCTTAAAACCTAAATAACACGAAAAATAAGCATACTGTAAAAAACAAAAATTTTCAAAATAAAAGAAACTTTTTTGCTAAATCAACCGTTTCAAATTCTTAAACCCACCCGCCCTTGCTGTTTCTTCTTTGAAATTTTCGTTTTTTGTTGTGCACCATTTTTTATTAAATTTATAATTTTTGTTAATTTCCAGATAAATGGCACACGGAAAGCTGCTCTCACGGATTATGAGAAAGGTACAGATTGATGCCCGTTTGAGGATTGGCGACTCAATAAGGAAAATCACTGCCAAAAAAATTTGGGGCTGATCCGACTCTGAAAGTCTGTAGAGACATAAAGTCGGATTTTGTTACTGCACCAAAGAAAAGCCAGGACCAAAACCAAAGCTTACACCGCCGAGCTAGATGCCATGTCTGAACAAGATCCACCGAGAAAGCGATCCAATGAAGTGAAAACGCAACGGAAAACCGACTCTTCCGAAGTCGAAATTCCGGCACGAAACCATCAAAGGAAAAACTGCCTGCACTGCTCCGTCGACAATTATTGAACATTCAACCGATTGTGAAACTTTTGCACAAGAAAGCCCGATTGGCCTTTCGCCAAGACTCACCTGCGATCAGAATTGGTCTATGGATTTGGGAAAGCCGCTTATGTTTTACTTATTTTTGCGTTTAGGTGATCTTTTCCGATGAGAAGAAATGGAATTTGGATGGCCCGATGGCGTTGGTTGCTATTGGAGAGGATCTTCGGCGTGATCCGATGGTGTTTGGAACTCGAAACTTTGGCGGTGGTTGTGCTGCTGGTTTGGGCCGCCTTTTGTGCTGATGTTGAACGGTCGCTCTGAAAATGGTTTCAGAAATTGGATGACTAGATAGATATCTTGAACGAAATTGCTTGTCGCCGTTTTTGCTCCTAAAATCAAGCCGTTCCCGATTTGTTTCAATACGACAACGCGTCCCTCCATTGAGCCAGAGTACCCGAAGGACTGGCTGAACAGCAACAACATTGCAACTTTTGGACTGACCCGCTCCAGTCTCCTGACCTCAATCCGATAGAAAATTTATGGAAAATACTTGTCCGAACAGCTCACCAAGGGTCATCGTCAGTTTTCAAAACGTTTCCACACATAAAACGGCAATTTTTTTCGGCCCCTGGAGCGATCTCAGACGTCTCTGCTCTTCAAAAACCTCATCAATTCAATGCCAGACCGCATTTTTTCAAGTAATTAATCGTTCAGGTGAGTATTTTGAAAATTGATAGTTTTGATTTTTACGCTCCGATTTTCCATTTGTGTCGATATAAATAAAAATATTTTCATAGTGCGTTTAAGGAGAATTTGAAGCGGTTGATTCCAGCAAAGAGTTTCTCAATTCTGAAAATTACATTTTTTACAGTATTAACTACTCAAAATTATTGTTAGCGGTTTTAGACATGCTCTTTCTAATAGAAAAAGATTGATAGTTGTAAGAGGTGGTCAAAATGCAAAAATTCGCTATTTTAGAGGGTGCGTTTAAAATTTGAAACGCACTGTAGAGATACAACCAAATGTTCAAGACTTTTTTCTGCTTTCTAAACCAGCTGTCTCTGATAAAACTTTGTTGTTTTGTAAAGGAGTCAGCTTATGGCAAAAATGGCTAATATGTTGGAAACTAAAAATAAGTAAAAATTAGTTGTGAAAAAGTCTTCTCTGAAACGATTATTTTACTGAAAATTTTTTGTTTTTAATCTCTGAGAGACAATGATGCAAGACTTTTTTTGCCGACTGTATCTCTCAACCCTCAACCAAAATGGAAAGGGACCAATTATATCCAATTTGTTGTTGATCCCAGCATTTAGAAAAAACCTTCCAGATATGGGAACTCTTCTAGCAGAAATCGAAAGATCCAAATTTTCACCACACTTCTTCGAGCGAAACGGCAATTACGGCGATTCGACGAGTACGCCGACTCCCATAAATAGCAAAAGTGTGCCGAAACCGATGACCACTTCTCCAAAACCCACAAATCAACGCAAATCGTCAAATTTCTATCATTTTCCGTGTGAGCTTCACGAATTTTTCCCGAATTCTCGAAAATTCTAATTTTTAATGCTTGTATTCATTTTATTTCCTCGTAGCTTGTTTTTTTATAGTAAAATACAGATTTGGGAGGTTTTCAAAAGCCAAAAATTCGCAAAATACAGCTTTCACAGAGCAAAAACCGTGAGAAAAAGATATCAGAGATTTCCTTTCAAATTTCGCAACTTCGAACGGACCGACACTTTCACAGCCATTTAGACTCCCAAAAGGTGCAGATAGTATCAAACTCTTTTCTTTTCATTTCACAAAAGATTTTAAAACTTGATTTGGGATAATTGAAAGGGCAACAAAATATTGGCAGAAAAATATCAATAATTTGTCCTTTAGAATTGCTTGACTTGGTGCAATAGCTAATCCGCAATCCGTCATTTTTTTTCGATAAGCGAGCTTCGACTAAAGGTGATGCGTGCTAGAGCAATTTGTTTAAGTCAAAGGCCTTGTACATGTATGAGAAAATATGTGAAGTTACTGCAAATCTAAATTTTGTTTTAAGCTTTAAGTGGATAAAGCTTTAGTTTATGATTTGTCTCTATCTTTTAAATTTAGCTTCTCAGCGAGGTGCTCGATCATTTGTCAATCAATCGTCTTCCTTTGATGGATCTTCGTGAAATCATCGCCACGTCTACTTTGAAAGACTCACCAATTCAACGTTTTCAGGGAACGCCTTGCTGTGAAACTCGCAGATGTGGCTAAGTAAGATGGTTTCTTTGAGAAAATTTAAATAAGATTGCGTTTGTTTGTCGCTTTGTGCGTAAATTTGGTGATCACACTGTTCAGTTTTTGCTATTTTGAACTGAGTTTTGAGGAATTTTGAGCAACAATTTCAGAATTTCAATCTGAAATTGTTATCTGAAATTCTTAGATCTTATTGTATTCAAATCTTTCGATTTTTGGCATTGATTTTCCAACAAGTCTCGGATGCGCTCTTGATAGGATTCTAACGATGCTCCGAGACTGGTACGCTTCAAAGCGTCGAATTGATTACATTGACCTCCTAGCAGCTGGCGAACGTCAAAATGTGAGCTCTTCCTGCCTTTCTTATTTTGCTGAAAATAATTTGGATGCGGTTTTTAAAAGAGCTGCAAGATCGACTTAACTATTCTAGTCTAGATAGCCTAGGGATAATTCACTATAAACAATTCAAAGCAATTGGTTATATAGTTCCCCGTTTTAGCTACGGTTTTTTTCTAACGTATGAAAGTATGTTCAAACGAAACCATTTGGTCTACAAAATTGTTTTAAGATCCATTAAATGATCGACTAGCGCCTCCGGTCCTTGAGATTGCACTTGCAGAAGCAGTATATACGCTGGGCAGCTGTTCGACGATGATGGTTTAGGGTGGGGGCATCAGTTGCTCCTTCAGATTATGAAGTGGACTAATGCACAGTGGATATTTATTCTCTATTTCTCAGAATTAAAGCTGTATTTTGTTCTGTAAATTTGTGATGTATTTTAAGCTTAAGTTTTCGATGTTGGACGTGTGATCGGCTCTTTCGTGGAAAGTACTCATTGTTACTAATGTCAACATTTGAAACTTTTCTCACACCGGAATAAATCCTTCTAGCGATTTGTTTGTTCTGGTGCTTTCCTTTAAGCCGAACTTGTTCAAGTTTTAAAATAAACACTTCAAATAGTTTTACTGTAGAAAATCGTACCAGTTTTCTTTCTTTTCCTAAAAGCTGCTCGGAAATTTCGGTATCGATATTTTGAAAGCAACTAAACCAACCCGGTCTACATGCCACGCACGATCCATTTTGCCGCCTCAGAAACTCCCCAGTTTCCGTGTTCATTTTGATCAAACGGAACAAATGGGTTTTTTCTTTCACAAAGCAACCAATAGTTCAACTGTGAACTAACTCTTTCCAAACAATTTGTTCTATTCTCTTTTGCAGCAAAATATAGTAATCTTTATTTTGAGATGTTTTGTTTGTTTATTGAATATTTTTTTTACAAGTTTATTCAAAAACGTGACATTTTATTGAGGCGATTGAGTCTCTTCTTGACCTGGCTAGAAGCCGTAGGCGCTTAAAAAGAAAACTTTATTAAAAGAAAATTTCCCTTGACTGCAACATAACACTAACACATAACATTCAAGTATTAAATAAAATAAGGTACCTGGCGTAGCGCAGTAGTTCGAATTGCGTGAAAGCGTTTCAATAGGAGGCAATCGACCCTGACCGACGCCTCCTCCGGTACCGCCGCCATGAGGACCGTCTAAAATAAAAATGTTCAGGTAAAGAAAGAAATCAAATACCATCCGTTCCCATCGGTTTTGGAGCCATGGTGTTTTCCACAGCCAGATTGAGAACCAGATTGACACGAAGATCTTGCATCTATAAGAAAGAATTTTTTTTGAAAATTAAAATGACCGTTTCGTATCAACAAATTCACCAATAAGCCATCCAAGTAAGTACGGATTCGAAGCTGGTATGTTCCTGGCTGAGGTGCCCCGTCTGAGGTGTGGGGAGGCAATGAGATGCGTGTACCGGGACCAGGTTGAAGAGAGGCGACATTTCCATATTCAGTCCAGTGGATGGTCCAGTCGCTACCATGATCGTTTCCTTGCTGATCATAAGGACCGTCAATCTAAAACAAAACTCATTGAAATAATCCGAGAAAGTTAAACTTAGGACTTTTAAAAGATCACCACAAAAATTTTTTTGAATTTGAAAATTAACAAAAAAAATTCTAATTTAAAAGTGGTAAAGATTCAAGCCAAAACTTTGTCTGAATTCAGATTTACTTTAATCACAAAAAACTAACCGTAATGTTGACATTGGCAACCGCCCTGAGCCGAAAGTTTCTACGGGGTTGAGTTGGATCGTATACGAGCGTCTAAATTTAGAATTATTCAAACAAAAAAACATGTAAACTGACGAACCGGCATGTTGTCTATGCGCGGGACGAGGTCCAGGATCACAGGAGCGGACTCCCAATCGAAAGCAGGCGGGGGCAAGGCCATCGTTTCAGCGTTCGTGTCTAAACGAAGCAATTGCACACTCATCCATTCCGGTGTTTCGGCGAGATCTTTATCAGGAACAGGCATTGAATCGAGTTGACCGAATAATAGAACATGAGCTAGATTAAAGGTTTATACCTCTGAAGTGAGCGGAAGTAGTGTGCTTCCTTGCCAGGTTGATAAGTGATGGTAGACGGACCAGCAGGTAGCGAAGAAACGGCCTTGCTTTGAATGGGGGCTCCTTTCAATCCAATGTCCTCCACATTCTTTCGAGTAAAACCAGTTGCATCGTCGTCGTTTGATGTGGTACTTTGTCCATCTTCGTCCTTGATGCATAGACTCTAAACAAACGAGATCAACTAACAAACATGCATGTCAAAGCTTTCTTGCATGGTTTGATTCAAACTCTCGGTGATTGCATCCGATAAGTTGGCTGAAGACTTTCGTTCATCTCTTGTATCCGAAGAGGAGCTTTTTGTGCTAGCATTCGAGGTGTTGAACAAAGGTACTACCTAAAATAACAGTGTTGTTAGCGCCACTCCTACAAATCAGCATACTTTTCTATCATCATTTGATCCAGAGTCAGAGTTGGCGTCTGAATCCTCGATCACAACCTTTTTATACTTGTAAGGCTTCTTCGATTTGTTTGAGTTCGACCTCGAGGAGCTTGACGACGCATTTGAGGATTCTTCCTAAAATTCCACATAGCTTTGTACGCTTCCAATATGAACCTGTCTGTCATTTTGTTCCGAATCGGATTCATCAGTAGTGACTTCTTCAGTCTTTGTCGATTTCGGCATCCATTTGAGTTGCCTTACGTTTCGGTTATTTTCTCCCCTTTAAACTTCAAAAAACCTGTCCTTGGAAGAATTCATTTAGTTCATCTTGACCGTCGGCATTCTTTGATGTTTCGGTTTGTTTCTTAGCTTCGTTTGGATCGACTGAAGTGCCCAATGATTCACTAAAAGCCGGGTCGTTTTTGGTATTTTTGTTATTATCTTTGTCACCTTCTCATTCCAATAATATGTTGACATAGTTGATCGGCTAGACGTTCGGTGAGAAATTGTCCCTCACTCTAAAAACCTAATGAATAACTCAAAAAAAGGTGGAAGTCAAAACCTTTTTCCTGTTCATAGCCAAAAGAGAAACAAATCGGCCCATTGGGATATCTTGGAGGCCGTCTAAAATTTATAAACGATTTTAGAATGTAAGAAGCGAAATCGGCCGATTTTATCCATAGATTTTCCATACTAACCTTTTGGGTGTGAACCGTTATAAAACTCGGAATCTTGTGGCGCCCAAAAGGCTTTTATTCGCTTGGCAGAGATGTTTTCTCCCAATTTTCCGATACCCATTGAAATGACTTCCTAAAAGAATACTAGAAATGCTCCAATAAGAGAAAAACCTTCAAGGATTTTCCATCAGCGGTTTTCACTGAGTCGACATCTAGCAAAAAAAATAAACGATTCGACCTCACTAATTAAACTAACCAAAAGTCTGAGTAGAAATTTTGTCCGATTGTTGTGCTGGCGCCCTTTTTACGTGTTCAAGAGCGGCAGTAACAAGCGAAGCTAACTAAAGTTGAAAAATAAGAAGGGAAACTTTCAGAACGACTACCAATTGTTTAAAAGGTTCTCCTCGAGCGACAAAGTCCGTTTCACAGCTTAGTTCGACAATTGCAGCTACCTAAATAACAAAAATACCTAATCAAAAGAAAGTTAACGTTTACCTTCCCGGCTGTTTTCACTGTCACCAGTCCTTGAGATGTTTGTCGATTTGAAAGTCTGAAAGAAGTCACTAATAAAGCTTAAATGTGAAAAAATCCTACTTGGCAGCTTTAGCCCAGCCTTCCTTTACGCGTTTTGTCGTAACCATTTTTCGGCAGCACTCAAATCAATTCCTAAACTAAAAATAACATCAATTTTCGCCAAACACCAACCAAATTGAAGCAAAGCCTTTCTGCTGTATCCTGTTTTGCGGCGAAGTTTCATTAGAGACTAAATATAAGTGTTTAAAAAAACTGAAAAACCCACTATGGAAAGACACGAGGTGTGAGTTCGTTGATTTTATCCACAAAGCTTGAGTCAAGTCACTCCTTTAGATCCATGTGCTTCTGCTGAGGCTATATGTGGCTTGCTGTTCTGTTTGGCACTTTCTTAACGTGGATTTTCTGTTTTATTTGGACGAACACAAGAGACGATTGGATGTATGATTGTGTTTATGCTATTGAATTATTAATCAACGAATTTCTCTGACTGAATAATAAAATCAGGCTTCAAAGACTATTGATTTTGTCTTTTAGATCAAGGAAGGAGATGAAGGAAGAAAGCGAAATCTCCGCCGCGGATAAGGCTCTTCAAGCAGTTGGTACGTTTGCTGTTCGAAAATGTTTTGGTTATGAATGGTTTTTAGCAAACATGGTGGAGAACGCGCTCGAATGGACGATTCAAGGAGTCGGAAACATTTCGGCAATCGATAGTATCGATTCTGCCGAGAGAGCCTCTTGTGGATGCTTGTCGAAAAGCAAAGCGAAGCTACCATACGATGTAGACAAAGTTGTAAGTATTGCGAGCCTGTTTCTTGCCACAAAATAAACTTTAGAGAAGAGTTGTTGATTTTTCTCGTTCTATGCCTACACGTGAAGACACTGTTGCAATTTGAAAAATGGTCATGTGAAGCTGGCTTACGTCATTAATGTAATTCTCTGTGTTAACAACTTAAGCGAAAATGTTTAGATCGATCATGGTCTTCGACAAGTCCAGAGTACGCAAATTTGGTTGGTAGTCTTCTTACAACAGAATTGATTCCGTCTGGTGTCAAAACAAAGAGATGCATCGAGGAGGTAACAAAATTTATGTGCAAAAAATAAGTTCTTTTAGGCGTTTGCGATTGACCGTGGCTTTAGCCTTGGAGAAACGGTGGTTTTGTATCAGAAGGAGTTTCCGAACGATGCAGAAAAAGCCATTGAACGCACTACAAAGAAAGGAATGTTTGGACAGTCATTAATGCAAAGGTTGGGGATAAACTATGAAATTTGCCAGGGTTTACGTTATTTGTCGTTGCGTTTCTTCTCTTTTTTCGGCAGAAATAAATTTAAGTGACTTCGGATCTTTTGGTCCTCCCTGGAAAAACATATGTAGCGCGCAATATTGATCTAGGAAAGGTGGTAACGGTAAGCTTTCGCGTGCAGTTTGTTTTCATTTTTTTTGTTTCTAGCTTGATGTGGTCAACTTCAACTTGGCTCATAATTATGTGCTATACGACGATTGGATTGGAGATTTAGTGAACATAACAAATGATATCACGATGATTTATAATGGCCATCGGTACTGGTTCAAAATATTTTTAAACATCGAGTATTTCAGGTTGACGGCTTGTGACAACGGATCCCTCGCTTTGATCAAAAAAGATCGATCTGATGAGCAGAAGAGCTGTATTCCTGGTGAAGTTGTACAGATGTTGGTCTCAGATGTCTTATCATCACACGTTAAAGTTAGTTGCCTTTTGCTAATCTGAAGCATTTTTTGTTCAGTGGGAAAAAGAGATGCCTTTCAAACTGAGAAGACTTTCCCGCAACAAAAGCGCTTTTTATGGAGGTGACTCGATTACGTGCCTGGTTGAAAAGGTCCGATTTTATCCGCCGCAAGCCTACGTAAAATTCGGGTTGAGCCAGTGACTGTGGAAGTCAGGTGGCTGATGTCTCCATCTTCAGTAGAGCATCCTCCAAAGAACATTGAAAAATCTGATTTCAACAAGTAATCTAGCTTGTGTATTTTTAGTCATACAACAACGTTTAGGTTTACAAAGGTTGATCTTTCTGCCAACCTACGCATAGCGGCGGATGATCGCGTGCGCGTAAAGACAACTGATGAGGACGAGGTTTTTTTGAAAAAACGCGTGAAACTTTATTTTTAGGCAATTACTCTTACCGAATATAACAAGTACCTTGACGATCAGTATGGCAACAAATTCGAGGTTTTTGATTTAGTCTTTGGTCTTTTGGATTAATCTCTTACAAAAGATTTTAGCAAAAAGTGAAACCTGGTAATGCTTCTGTCGCTCTTAAATCTTCAACCAGTTCAATTGTTAAAGCGGTAGGTTTTAATCTTGAAGATTGTTCAATGTATTTGGTCTTTAGTTCATAAAGCAGCCTCACCGCCAGGAGATGAAGGTGCGCCACCAGAAAAGAATGCAAAAGTTGGATGCGTATGACTAATTTATATTATAACCTATGTTTGTCATTGTTAGGCTGAAATCCTTACTTTGAATACTGAAAAGATGGAACCAATAACTGAACATGACGACGAGACCATGCAACTTGGAGAAGTAAAGTTAGTCAGAGTACAATTTATTTTGAATTTAGACAACCGCTGACTGCGATGATCAAGACCCCAATTGTACCGATGGACAACGTGGGCTTGTTCGAAAGGGTCATCGTCCCAAAAAGAAGAGAGTGTGGGGTTTACGCAAATAAAAGAATGGCTTATGTTTAGACGAGTTAAACGTATACGCAGAAATCAAGCGTCAACGTAAACAAACAAAACTACATCAAGACAGGCAAAAAAACTTTTTGGAGATGAATTCATTGGAGAGGTACATTCTTTGAGTTTTTTTCCATATTGGTGGGCTTAGGTGCTTCGAACGCAGACTACTGTTGATGTAGAGTGGATGGATGGAACAATTTCTTACGATTTGCCTGGAAACATGCTTGTGCCGGTTGATCCAGATCTTGATCAACAAGATCATTTACCGGGAGTTCTCGTTGCAAGAAAAGATGGAAATACAATTAGTCTGAGCAAAATGTGATCAATATTCAAGTTGTCTTAGGTGATGAACTTGGCTTAATTCTTCAAACCGATCAAAAAGAAAGGTGCGCCCTAGTTCGATGGTTGCAAATTGCCGACGATGGAGTTCCCGCTGATAAAGGAGAAGAACAATGCACGCTATTTGAGATCATGCCGCATCCTTTGTATCAGAGGTAACGCGTTCGCGTTGAGCTTTTAAAACAAAACCTTAGAATGATGATTGGAGCAATTGGTGTAGAAATCGGAAAAGAAGCTCAGAAATTGAGCGACGTCGTCTTCCAAGTGAAATCAAATTTGAAAAATGGACAATCTGAGGTCGAGTATTACAATGGAACACGGGCTACCCTATGGCCAACTGAAATGACTCTGTAAGGACACGTGTAACAGAGTAAGTGTTGAATCTTTTTTAGTCTTTTCGTTCCTGAAGATGATCACGCGACTCAAAGTTCCGACGAAGAAACCGATGGCGACGAATCATGGAATAATTGGTCAAGTCAGCAAGAAGAGGATCTCACTGTCGATCAGCCATCAACTAGCTCTGCCAACGTTACTTTTTCTAACTTCATTGCGGGTAGTTTCTTTAACTTATGCAATTATTTTTTTGTTTTAAGAAAGGCCAAACTGTTGTTTGCAAAGAGAGTTTCTCTTCAAGTATGTTCTACCTGGACCAAAATTAAGCTACTCGGATAGATACATTCAAGAACTAATTAGCCAAGGAAAAAATCCGACTAGTAAAGAAGTTGCTGAGAGGGCAAGGCGAGTTATTAATGAGTAAAACGTTTATAAATTTTTAGATTATCAAGCATGGCTAATCCTAAAAGCGATGAGGTGATTCTTGTACAAAGTATGGAGGTGTGTTTTTGTTTTGAAGAATCTGATATCCTCTTAATCAGGCGAACCCTCAAGCAAGACAAATTGAACAATACATTGTTGGCACGGGAAGCAGTTTTGTCAAAATCAACAACCTGTGACCTCAGCCCAGGTATTTGAACTTTTAAAAAACGTCGGACTAACTGCTTAGGAATTCTTTGAAAAATAATTCGATCACCACCAAGTACGAAAGGGAGAAGGTTTATTGTAAGTTTTCTACAAATAAAATAAATCCAACAAAATGAATGTTTATCGGGAGAAAGCAAAGGTTTGGAAAATTACGAGGACTTTTTTGCAGTCAACTGGATAAAGATTTAAGTTTGAATCTCAGCGGCATTTACGATGTGCATCGATCAATGCCTTGCATGATTCCGCTGGTCCATCTCTATAGAGGCAATCTTCAAGAGCCTAAATGCAAAATGATAAAAACGAAAATGATACATAACATAACAGAGTTTTATGCATATCAGTACGATCTCAAGCTATAAAATAACATTAGTACCATAATGATGCAAATCTATGGATGAATACTTACGCGTCGGGTGAGTTGACACGGATCAGCAACTGGACGGTTGCCGCTGTAGGGGTAGTGGGTTTTCGGCTCCGACTAAAAGCTTAAAATCAATACGAGCAAAAGCGATCAATAGACAAGTTAAATATTTATGTGAGAGTAGATCAGATTAGGTCACTTACCTCATTGTCTTCCATCGAGTTACCGGATCCCATTTTCTTTAGTCGATAAGTTATAGAGACAGTAGCGAATATTGAACAGCTAAAATGGGTTGTGATTTATTGATCAACTAACTACCGTGCAATTTTTGAATTTTTTAGCATGCAAATTTTTAACAATATGCTAATTAGCCGTTTCAGATGGAAAAATTCAAACAAGCTTTGTAAAAAGCGTTTATATAACAACAAAAAACAACAGTATCAGACTCAAAACAATCATAACAACATAAAAAATACAGTACTAAGTTTTATCGGTCAGCGCTCGTCGAAATCCGTTGACAATGCAAGAAGTGGGAACCGCGTCGAAACTTTTCCTCACTCATTCAGCGACTTTTTCGTAGCTCTCGCGTTCCTTTCGCCCCGATGGTGTGAATTGATCGTTTCGGCTGTCAGCCATCCATTCTTTCCAGTAGTCCTTCAGGTTTTCTTAAATGGCTTGTTGACGCTGATGTTGAATGCTGTAAGAAACGAGTTAGCCTCCGCTTTGCTCCATCGGCATATCATGACTTCGTATTCAATCGCCGCTGCTGTTGCACCAAATTTCCTCGCATATTCGACCGCTTTGATTTTCATTTCGGCGGTGTTGAAACAAATTTCAGCCATGAAAAGCGAATAAATTGTCATGCCTTATATCTCCTCAGCTCCCAGAGGTTGAATCGACTTTTGTGCTATATGTCATGGATTCCCCATCAAATTTTTGAAGTTTAAGAAATGTCCAATTAACAACAGATATTTGGAAATAGAGAAGCTCACATAAAGGGCAAAGGGGAAACGTCGTCACTTTTGTTAGCAGCCTTAACAAAATGACGACGTTTCCCTGCCCTATATCTCAGCTCCTAGAGGTCGGACGCTTAGTAATAGAGAAATGTGTACTTAGAAGAGCTTAGCTCAGAGGGAGTTTCAGACCTTAAGGCAAAGGGCAAAACGGCGTCATTTGTAAGGCTCCATACCTAAGGGTCTGAGTTTTGCCCTTGCATTAGATCTCGACTCCCTCTCTGAGAAAAAATATCTTCTAAATTGACATTCTCTAGCCAAATTTCATGAGGAATCCAATGCAACCCTCAATCCAACCAACGAATTTATGCTGTCTGAAAGTCCGGTGAAAAGTTCTCAAGTCCTAAAATTCTCCGTTAAAGTGGGCACTGCCGACGCCCACTCGGCCGCAGGGAACGCGGGAGTGAACGTAAGCCATTTTGACTGACTGCCCAACTTCTTTTTTTTCTTTTCCAAACTTTTCCATAAAGCCATTTTCGGGCTTTGGGCTCAAAAGATGCGGATGACTGCCTCTTTCAACCTTCGAAGAGAGATTGCAAAAAGTTGAAAGACAAAAAAGTATGCAAATTTCTCGAGAAAAGTTTGTCGGTTTTTTCTGATTCTCTGCGTGGCAGCCCCTTTAGAAAAATCCTCGTAGGAAAAACGCGACCTGGCACACGACTCAAACCGAGTAGCAATTCAGAGTGATCTTCTCGCATCCGTTCAATTGGTTTTCGATCCATTTGCCGAGCTGCTCTTTCATTGCTTGATCTTGTTCAAATGAACGGACCTCGATGCACAGTGCGTTCTTTTTGACCGATCCACAAAAAGTGGTGAAGAATTTCTGGCAATCTTTGTTCGTGCTAGCACCAAACACGAGTTGGTTCACCGATTTCAACTGGCCTAAGAACATTCTACCGGTGCGGCCCTTGGTATAGGAAAATTCTAACTTGTCGCATGAATCGATCCGTTTGGCGAAAGGAAGAAGAGTTGCATTCAATTTAAGGGACGGAGAATCGACGAACTTCTGGATCCAATTTTTCGGCTCGTTTTCGTAGTCTGCTCCAGAGGTAACCTCAGCGACGTGCTTTCCGTAAACGATCGATTGATCCATTGCATAGCTCGAGTAGAGCCTCTTGTTCACCATCATCAATTTCAGCACGTCTTCACATCAAGGTGGTGTGCAATCTTCTCAACCAGCTCCAACGGCAAGTCAGTGATCGTTGCAACTGGCATTCTCGCATCTGAAAATAAAAAGACATCATTGAAATCGACATTTGATTGATTTACTCTAGTCACTTTTATCACCAAAATCACTTATTCAGGTTATTCAGGCAAACCTTGAATCTTTGGTTCCGACTCTCGCTTTCGTTTTTGTGCGCGCTTTTCAACCGACATTCGCGTATCTGAAAATAAAAAGACGTCATTGGAATTGACATTTGTATGATTTACTGAAGTCACTTTTGTCTCTAAGGACCACTTTTTAGGTCAATCTAGAGCAGTAATCATTTTTCATTGTAAAATCATTACAAAGCAGCCCAATAAATTGTTTCTGATACTCAAAATGACTCCGATAAACCATAAAGTCAACGAAAAATGCACAAAGAACGAATTAGAAGCGATCAAACGTAGATAAAGATAAATTTTATCCAAAAAATCCTGCACAGCTTAAACTTTCCAGATTAACAATCAAAGATACCCTTAAAATCATACAATTATTTAGATTTGCGCTTTAGTTAAAAGGAACTGGCTAAGTTGAGCTTATACGGCATGTGTGAACGGATTCAAAACAATGGAGTGGAAGGAGCCGAAAAAAAAACGAATTAAGACCGTACTAGAATTTTAAACAACAAACTATGGGCAAACAATATAAAAGGGACGAACGAGGGAAGAGAGAGTACTTTAAAAACGCGCTACAAAAACATTTTACCATTTTACGAGCGACGAAGAAAACTTAGCGGGACATAAAATAAAAAGGATAAAAAGCGGACCAAGTTTCCGATGCGACCATGGAATGAAGGAAAATGAAAAGAATAGCAAAAAGGGAATTTTTGTGCGGGTACGGTAGCGCATCCACGCGCCGCTTTCGTGCCAGTGCCTTAAAACCGCACATCGATAGGAAAATTTCAGAATAGAAAGAAAGAAATTTGGAAATGTTCAGACGACAGTCAATTCGCATTAGACATGGGCGCTACAAACTACAAGGTCAAACTACAGACGCTCGTAGAAACGCGTAAAATGGCTAGTTTCAAAAACTGTTTTTACCAAAAAATCGAGCCAACTTTGGGCTTTCGAATGACACCAAGATCAGACCAACTCACCACTGCTTCAAGAACGTGTTATTTATAGCAGTTTGTAGTCTCTTTTCATGAGAAACCTGGAAAAATCTTTTGTCTTGCGCAGAGATGGCGGATTGGCCAAAGCTCAAAAAAGATTTAGCCCTTTTCGAAAAAAAATAAAATGAATAAATGAACTATGAAGAAAACTAAAACCTGAAGATTCAGAAGTATTGACTGCGTTCCAGAAATGATTTCCGATTTGCAGAAAATCACATGTGCTTTTTGGTTTGGCGGGAAAACTGGGGAACAGATTTGAGTGAATTGAATCGAATCGTCAATTTTGTGAACAAACCTGAGCAATTTCTCCTGTGCACTCCATAATTGCCTAATTATTGGCAAAACTGGTGGAATTGAATGAATCTTTAGGACAATATTTTTTTTGAAGCTACCATAACCTAG